TGCAGGTTATCAAGTCTAGACATTTTGTACCCTGCGGACTGAAGAAAACCTCATGTTCCTTATTTTTCTCTCATCTGTGGTGTTGTTTCAAAGAGAAAATTATATAGAGACATGAGGAGCACTTAATAGCATCAATCAATGCACGCTGTATGTCTGTTTTGTTAGGCAAGACAATCATCTTGTTGATGTTCACAATCTCTGTATCTTGAAGTAGCCCTGAGCAATAAGGATTCCGCAGCACCTGAAAGTTTTGTACACTGCTGTCCTTTTTTGTAGTTGTACTGCTGCACTCTGAAACTGTGGGTCTAGGAAATAGAGAACTATTGATTTTCTTTCTTTTTTTTTTTTTTTTTTTTTTTTGAAAGCAGATCCTCAGCATCCTATTTTTTTTTTTTTCTTTTTTTTGAAAGCAGATCCTCAGCATCCTAAACTGTACAGATGGAGGCTTTCATTAATGGCCGATCTGTCAGACTCACTGCTGGATATGAAGTGTGTCATCCATAGGTGCGGGCTGCACTGCTAATAGTCCTCTAGGTTCCAAGGGTTCAGAAATGATGGGAATGAAACTAGCAGAAACCATCAGCTGGGCCAGAGACACGTAGAGTTTGAGAATACTTGACTTCCTTTGAGTTTGTTCATAATTCTCATTATTCTGAATTATGATTCTCATTAGATTCTCATTACTGTTAATACTGTAATGAAACATCCTCTCTAGACACAATGGTAGCATAAGCAATGTGTAAATCATCATACACTAAAGGGAGTTGAGGAGAGTGGGGTAAAATGAGTCACCATGTAATCTAGCAAATTGTGCACATTTTTTGTCACATGACTATATTTAGAAAGAGTCTGTCAAATTCAAAACAAATAACCGGCAAAGGGAATTGCCAGTGTATATTTTGATCTATCTGAAGTTTAGCCATGGACTATGGAATGAAGCATTTCTTAACATGACAGTTGTGCAGTAAAGTGTGTCAGATATTTTGGGGTAAGATGGCTACGACTATTGGGGAACTACTACGAGTCTACGACTATTACAATTTTGTTTCACTACATTCAAATACTAAATCTTATTTAATTACTATAAACAATATACATGTTTTTTCCTTTAAACATGTGTGAAAATAATGTGCAAAGAAGACTTGAGGCCATATATTTGTGAAATGTTCTTCTTTTTTTTTAAGTTTAAAAAATGTAACTCGCATATCCAATCAGTGTACTTGTGTTTAACTAAAAGCACTTACACAAAAAACACGCTGCACGCAGAAAGACCCAATTCGTCATATCTCAGATCGGATAATCCGAGTAAACTGTTAGAAATCCATCGGATGGCGCTCTTGATGCCTTATAGCGTGTGCACTGGGAGCTGTCCACGGCTCTGGCATTACAGAGGAGCGGTTTAAGCTTTTAGACGCTTCCTCTGATGCAGCTGAACTGCATTCATGTTCATATTGAGCCACAGAGACAACATTATTCTCAAAGAAGGTGAAAGTGAAGGCTCACATCACAGAAAACGCCAGTCGTGCCGGTGAATTGATCCAGCGTCTTCGCGCGCTGCGCAGGGAGTTCTGACTCGTTCATTCCCCTCACGAGCTTCATTGATACTTCACTAAATGTACGGAGATGGACCTACGCTGGATTACTTCTGACGCTATTTGGAAACTATGATGAATAGGAGTTCAACATCACCAACTGAATGACCTGCCGATTATTTCACTCAGCAATCTTCGGATGCCTTTCTTCTTGCAACTTCATCAAAGAGCTTACAGTCAGAATTAGGGCTGTTACTTTAAACTCGCATATTAAGTAATTAAAGTAAATTATGCGTTTTATAGTTCGTGTGTTGTTAACCAGTCGGCGCGAAAAATGATTGCTGTAAATAGCGAGTGTATAACTATGACGAGAAGATGCCTGCTGACGTTCAAACCGTTCAGGTAAGACTTGACATCTACTGTAAGACTTTTATGTTCAAATTATTGAAGACATTGACAGTACACCATTCAGACAAACCTCGAATTGACACTGTAGCGTTTGACCACTGTGACTGAGGTCTTAGTTTTGTGTCTGTGGTCTGATTGACCTTACAAAAAAAAAATCACTTTCACAACAGTAAGTTTCCGCCAAAATGCCACATTTGCATTATTTTTTGTAATGTAAAATCTTATTAAATGAATGATGACAACGTTAAGCATACTACTGTTAAGTTTCTTTTTGACGGTGTAGTATAACACCAGGTAATATTTTTATTAGCTAAATAATAATAATAATATATATATATGGCTACCATGCTAATTTTTGTAAAGAATAGTTCGCCAAACTGTCTTCACTATTGTTACCACATAAAAGTGTATCTACAAAGAAAGAGATTACTGTCTTACTGTAAATAACATGGTGGTGGAGGCGGTACTATTCTCGGTTCTTGAGAGGGTTTCATTGATGGTGTCAGGGGACTTTCAGGCAAGGATGTGAGGATGGTGTAAGAACTGATTCTCGTTGATGAGCTTTCGCGCTGTTTCTCGCAGTGGCGGGAATCCAGCAGCGCGAAGATGTGGGTCATTCTGTTCTGCAGTAGCCTACCTGAGCTCTGCAACTTAAAAAATAAAATAAAATACAAAAAAAATAAAAGGCTTGTGTTGTACGTTAAGCACGCTTTTTCTGTGAAAGAGTTGCAGATATTACAGAAATATGCCCTGGTCTTATTTAATACTATTTAAGACACTTATTTAACTTATTTAAGACACTTATTTAGCCTACACAGTGGAAATAAAATGAAAAAGATGTCTTACATGATGAAAATAAGAGGTCATAAATGCTTATTGATGTTTGCTGTTACTTTGCCACCAAACATGATGCCACTTTATAGAGAATGATGTCAGCAGGGAAGGAGACCAGTAGAGGAGACTGTATGGAGAGTTTTTTTTCTGCTGCACACTACATGTCTCAGACTTTGATCTACTGTAATATTCCAATATTTGTCTTCTACAAACTAAAATAGAAACAACTAATCATTACTTACCTCTAAATATTCTAGTAATCAAAATTACTTTTCAATAATAATGATGCCATTCCGTAATACCACTTATACCACCATTATAAGTTAGGCATTTTAATTCAAAACAGGAAACAAACAGGAAAAATTTTATTTCAAAATAGCAAATACATGCAGATAATATGCAATTTCGTGTCCAGTTACAACCCTCCATGTCTGGTCTGATATGACATTTCTGTTTCCTTCTATATATAATTTATAAGAGAGAGAGAGAGAGAGAGAGAATATCTGCAATAGTTAATAAATCGATCACAAAATAAATCGGTTTACAAAAATGGCAAACTGTGTAAATCTCCTTTAAACCTCAAAGGTTTTGATTACCCATCCAAGGCTCTAGCCTGCAGGCTACAGCTACTGTATAGGTTAACCCTGACAAAAGATCAGTGGTTTATTCTTAATTTATGATGTTATGAACTGCATACAGCAATGAAAAGCATACTTAATTTTTAGTGGGCTTCTTAAAAGCATAAAGTCATCACGAGTGGCCTTGTACATTTTCATTACTGTTTGAGAAACATGAATAATGTTTTGAATTTCACCTTCTTTGTTCAAATATCTGTAATGCAAATGTGTATTTGCCTTAGGATGTATACATAAAACTCTAGGTTTATATAAACTGAGAAGTCAGTGACGTTTAAAGAAACAGTTCACCCAAAAATGAAAATTCTGCCATTGTTATGAGACTATTCTGTCATCACATGTCATTCCCAAAAAATGTATACAGTTGTTTTCATGCAGTTATTTTCCATACAATGACAGTGTCCATGTCTGGGAAGCTCCAAATTGATAAAAACACCATTAAATACCATAGTAGTCCACATGACTCCATAAGTCTTCTAAAATCATATAATAGCTTTGTCTGAGGAACAGACCAACATTTAATTCATTATTACTCAAAATAAGCATATCAATTTTGCTGCAACTCTGTCAGCGCACCAGTAATAGTGTTCTGCAAGGATGATGCATGTTTGTAGGCAAACCCCGGAAACGAGTCAGCATTTCAGCACTGCAGTTCCATCATCCTGGAAGTCAGTGGGTTTTTTGAATGGTCTGTGGTTAACGCAAGCACAAAATATATCAGTAATACCTGCTTGTGATTTTTTAAAAGCTTTTACTTGTCTTGAAAAAGGCAGTTGCTATCAAGTGTCTAAATGGGACTACAGAGGTTGTCAGGGACATTAAACCTCATTATGGCAAACAGTAAAATGCATCTCATTAGTCCATAAGCCTCAAAGTCGTCAGTCTACTTTTACAGTTATGTTGCATTTATAATGAAATTCTTCCAAACTATTCTAACTCAAACTTTCAGGGGAAATATGTTATTTCTTTCTTTATTTTTAATACTTTAAAGACTAAAGGAGTTGTTGGAAGCTTAAAGGAATAGTTTGCCCAAAAATGCACTCACCCTCAGGCCATCCATGATGTAAATGAGTTTGTTTCCTCATCTGAACAGATTTGGAGAAATGTAGCATTACATCATTTGCTCATCAGTGGATCCTCTGCAGTGAATGGGTGCCGTCAGAATGAAGTGAAAGGCTGTGTGTTTGTAGGAGGCAACTCCATCATTATGGCATTTTGACTTTAAATCATTGCATTGGCCAAAACATAAGTCCATAATCCATAATAATGCTTCCTCCAGTGAAAAACCCCATTCCCTGTTGTCCTCTCACATCAAAACCCACCAACATAATTGTGTTAAATTGTTTTGGACTACTTTAAGTTGCTCTGTGCGTATTTCTCTCCTGATTCAGATAAGACCATTTTTTTTAAAGCTGGAAGCAACTGCTTGAATTTAAAAATATTTGATGGATTTGTTTGCTAACTTCGGGGTTGGCATACAAAAATGTGTCATCATTGGAACACTCTATTTGTCTGATGGAGCGAAACATTATTGAGTTAATTTAATTAATAATTTTTTTGCTCTGTTTGTTACACGGACATGTTGTATGATGGAATATTTGGAATACAGGGAATGAGTCACTTGGACCACGTTTAGGGTTTTTTATTTATGTATTTATTTATGTACGTTTTAACTTAGCAGACGTGGTCACTGTGTACTACACTTTCATAGAAAACGCCTGTGTGAATATTTTTCTTCTTAAAAAATAAAAAGTGAACAGGTTTGCAACAACAAGGTGAGTAAACAATGACAAAGCTTTAATTTTCACAAATTTCGAAAGGATAATATACTTCTTCTAACAGTTATACTTCTTCTCATAGTGGTTTCTCGTCATTGTCTGGCTTTTTTCTTGTTCCACCCCAATACATTCATACATCTATCTGTCTATCTGTTGCAGGATATTTGTGGCGGGGATCGGTTTCTTCAGTCTGTGCTTCTTAATGACCTCTCTGGGGGGGCAGTTCTCGGCCAAGCGACTGGGCGATTCCCCATTCAGCATCCGAACTGAAGGTACATTAATAACTGGCAGCTCTGTACGTCTACCTGTGCTGACCGTATGCATGTTTAATTAATCCGGTGGCATTTAGAGAGCGTCATTTTATGGAATTTTTAATGGGGGTAATGAAGGGTTTTGCGCTGGCCTTTAACAGGCTTGATTAGCCAGGGGTCAGTGTGCTGTGAATAGCATCTCTGGCTGCAGAAGATCCCATTTTTCAGCAGTCATCACTTTTTATGCGTATGAAAATAGATCACGTCAGAAGCTAGAGGTCTCGTTCACTGCAAATCCCAAGAAGAACCTGTCTATGAGAAAGATTCACCCACAAATTAACATTCTGTCTTCATTTACTCACTCATCAAGGGTATTTGTGAAACTTTACGAAAGAAGGGTGGTTAAAATATAAAGATTTTGCAGCACAGATTCTGTGTGGCCTGGCTGGGATTGTCTTCTCTGTAAAGGATACATGCGATACTGACTTTATTTAGTGGGAAAAATAAGGTATCTCAGAAGGCAGCATAATTATGCTGTCTACCTTTTGTGAAAGCTTTCATGTTGGGAGCGCACCTATAGTGCTTTAAAATTCTGCCTACATGGGCTCACTGCAGAGGTTTTGGAATAGAGCCAATATGTTTAATATTCAGTTCCTTTCTAGTTTCAACACCGCTGTGCCCAACAGGAAATTGTGTACCCAAATGTGGCAAATAGTCATCTTAAGAGCTCCACTCGGTTGCTAGAAAATTGGAAAACTGTTTCATGGTGTGTTCAGCAAACCCCAGTAAAAAGCTGAAGATGATGGATTAGTGTTCTGTAATGTTGTGGGAGAGAGGTCGCATGGAGGAAAGAGAGGAGAGAAAGAAAGGGAAAGAGGGAGAGAGAGAGAGAGAGAGAGAGAGCAATCTGATTAATTAACCACTCCCAGGCTGAAGCCTTGAGAAAGCATCTGGCTCTCGCTCATTAAACACTGCCTGCTGATCAGCCAGAGATGGACGTCACTGTGTTTTGGGAGTCCAGCGCTGACAGAGATGTGAGGGTTACATTAAAATGAATTACAGTTACAAGGGGGGGAGGGGGAATAAAACAATAGAAAATAAATAAATAAAAATACTGCCCTCAAACTTTTGAACGGTAGCTAAAGAAGATTTCTATTTTGAATAAATGCTTGTCTTTGTGTATCCTGACTCCCGACAACATAACAGCATTCTGTTACTCTATACCACCGGGTCGCGACCCACTACCGGGCCGTGGAAGAATTGCTACCAGGTCACAAGAAAGTTCTGGGAAAAATGACACTCTGTTATTTATTTATGTTAATGATTGTTCTAATTATTCTGTATTTTCTTTGTATGCGATTGATATGGAGTAGCAATTTGACAATTTCATGTTAAATAAGTAAATGAAAGATTGCTCTGATCTGTCACATATTAGGAGTTAAACGGATCGCAGTTGATCCGTAATACGTACGGATGAGACCCTACCGTTCGGCACACGCTTGATTCGCAGATTAATTTGCCAATTTACACGTACAAACAATTTTAAACCACAAGAAGAAGAAATGAAAGAGACCTCAATTCGTTACTCACGCGCTGTTCTCGCGCACAATCAAATCAAAGCGCGCACAAGAGACGTGTTTCAGTCAGCGCGGAAATACAGAGTTGCGTATACATATACATAAAATTAGCCTATGTCAAAAAACATTCACGGCATTGTCATTCTCTGTGCTTTAAATATTTTTTTTTCTTGCTTATCCGAAAAAATAGGATAAGCCCCCCCCCTTGAGTATACATGTTATCTCAATGGGAGCTGTTCTCTTTCGGTTCCTGAGAGAAAACCTGCTGGTTCACTAATCCTCTTCCACATAAGAGATCCTCCAGCTTTTACACCCTCACTCTGGCCATGTTCTATCTTGAGTAATACCATGCAGCATATGTTCTGGGATTATGCCTCTAATGGATACTAATGGCTATTCTAAGAGAGGTTTGTTATTATACATTTTTAATGAAAGCTTGTGTGTGGGTTGATGCAGGGAGCACTTTGTCTGTTTTAAATAGCAGACGTGTGTTAGATAAGCAGTAAATACAGGATGCCAATCATTAGAGCCAAAACTGGGTTTCAATATCTCATAACATTCATGGGCCTCAGAATATATCCCTTCACTGGACACATTCTCAGCCATTACTGTTCAAACTAAAAATATATATCTCCCGATTTAATCCATCTATACTATGATCTATATACGCCTACACTGAAAAAAATGATACAATTTTTTTTTTATGGTAAGTGGTTGCAAACAATTTATTTTAGCTACATTTAAAAAATAATAATAATAATGTTGAAAGTTAGTCAACTAAATTAGTTATTTAAATGTAACTAAAATAAATGGATTGCAACCACTTACCTTAAAAAAAAAAAAAAAAGTAAATTCAATGAAATTTTTTTTTCAGTGTATAGACGTCTGAAATATAGTTTGAATATGCAGTTTTACATGCTTCATTATTAGGGCTGAAAATATAAGGATTCTTGTTACTATTCCACTTCTTTAATGTTTCCACTAAAGGTTTAACAATCAATCCATAAATCAATCAATCAATCAATCAGTCAATCAATCAATCAATACATTTTGTTATTACTGCCTCATCCTTATATCCCTATTATTATTCTTACCATGAAACACAAGCGGATATTTGGTAAAATATCTGAACTTATCTTTTCTATGCAATAAAAGTGTATACTGATATATGCAGCCAAGCTCAAAATAAAAAAAAAACAAAACAACACAAATAAAAGCAGGACTTATGCACTACTATATCTTCTGATATTATACGACAGCTTTGCATCACTCACATTTCATCTGTACCATGTTTTTCAGACTTACCACATTAAATGCAAGAACTAATGCCATTAAGTCCGGAATTGAATAAGAACTGATAGCACGGGTAGATCTTTTCTACTCACTCACTCACTCTAAATAAATAAATAAATAACATGCAATTTGACCTTATTTTTACATGGCTTTGATCTCTTTCACCAAACTGTGTTGCACAGAATTCGTACCCGAACACTCTGCATCCAAAATGCAATGCTGTACCAGATGGGCTACCAAGCAAGTTTACTACATTGGAAAAGCAATGCATACATATGATTATGTCATGCAAACGTTAAAAATGATTCATTTACAAATCATGCACTATGGCAAAATAGTTTTGAGTTTATAACACAGGATTGTACAAGGAACCATTAATTGATCATCTACCATGTAATCATAATTAGCATGAAACGGAATAAAAGTTGTTGGTGTTTTGATTGAACTAGTGTTCATTCAACTGATAACTGCAGCAAATTGTAGGTATAGGTACATTTTTGGAAAAATGTTGGTAGAAGTGCTGTTTAATTCATTTCAAATGGAAAAAATTAACTATTAAAATGTACACAGACTTTAGCAGTAATGTATTTTAAAGTACTTATTACAACAAAACGTGCTGAATTTACACTCTAGTAAACATAAAAATGCATAGCACATACAAATTTGGGGTAAAATAGATTCCTATCAACATAAGGTATTAGGTCTTTCAACATATATTATTATATGAATTTCTTCTCATTTTAATTCAACATCCTTACCTTCATATTTGCAGTAAGTAGCAATTCTGCATCTTGTTCGCTAGCTCCATTTTATTCTGAATGTTGCTCAACCCTGTTAGTCGAGTCTCCCGTGTGTTTCATTTGGTGTTTGGTTGCCAGTGGCATATAAATCTGTGGATTGCAGGGCTTTGACATAGCATCCTCTAGGAAGGGCTTTAGATTTCAATTGGAATCGTCCCTGTGCTCAATCACACTCTGGCAGATATCTGCACTGCTCTAAGATGAAAACCAGTGCTTCTCCTTCCTTTAGACAGTCAATGCAGGGTTCAAAGACTGTGGCCTTTGACAGTTGTGGCACACAGGCACAGCAGGAGATGAAAATACAGATTATATTAAAAACCTATATCTTCTTCTATGTAAGAGAGGTCTTTTTTTCATTGTCTCGTATATGCAGTGGGGTCCAAATATCTAAAACCACATTAAAAAAACTGGTCTCAGATCTCAGATTTTAATTTCTAATCTAGAACCAAAAGAAACATGTTTTAAAAAAGATAATAGACAAGTCATGGTGTAAAATGAATTAGAAACAAAGTTCTGCACTATTTCTGGGTCAAATGACAAATCAAATGACGGCTGCAAAATCAATAAAACATTTTTTTTTGCATAATATTATTGTTTTTATTAAAACAAATTAAATGAATTGATACTGAAATGCACTACATATAGAAAGAATATAGATACTGATATAATTATCCTCCGCGCTCTTAGCACAGGATGTGCCCTAGTTTCACCATCCATGTTTTTCTCCATGCACTGTTGTGTATTTATAATGCTAAATGACGGTCTAATGGGAACAGGAGCTATGTTCTTTCACACACACACTCTCAAGGAGACTGCTGTTGGGTTCTTGGGGTGAAATAAACTCTGTAAATATTTGCTTCAGCACATTTCTGAAGACTTCTCTGTAATTAAAACACAAATTCACTGCAGATTAGATCAAACATTTTGGAGTAGACCTTAAAAGTCAATTTGAAATGCAGTTCTCAAACCATTTTAATTCTGTAAACGGATGTATTTCCTAGTGAAACAAGATAGTCAGTGATGAAGAAAAAAAAAATTGTGCTGGTCTTGATTTTCTCCACTGGGAGTTGATTGGGTCTTGAGAAGTATTGCATACTAGAATGGAGACAGGTTGGAGTGAAAGGATTAGAAAGTAAGAGGAACTTTGATCAAAGTCAAGCTCACAGTTCAAGATTATTTCTGAAGAACGACTTGTGAGTGTATGTAAATGAGCCATTAAAATGAATGTAAACAGGTTGCTTTCCAGGTATTATTGATGCCTTTTGTTCCCCTTCGAAATAGCATAAATAACATGATGTAAACAATATCAATTTAGATTTCAGGTTGATTTTAAAATACGTGTGTGTTCATA